CTCTTAAGTGTAACGGCTTAGCGTCTGTTGCTACATATATCCGAATGGGATCCGAACTAGGGTACGGTTTAGCCTAGTGGAAAAACGACTATATAAACTTAGCCTCTATAATAGCTTATTAGGTAGATTTTTAATATCCTTTCGTATAAGGCCTATAGGTATCTATTTAAATTAAGGCTCGTTTGATGTCCTACGCACTCCTATATGCCTCTGAATGACACTACTGCCGATACTGATCCGAGTAGTCTTGCCTGCGCCGTTACATTAAGCTCTTTAAGAGGGTTCGTATAAGTCTAGGTATACGGGCTGAGGATATATAGAATATAGACAAGACTAGGAAAGCCCTTAGTATATATACTAATACTAGAGTCCTCGCAAGTAGTTAAAAGAAGAAGGCTTACTATCAGTCTCTAGAGAACCGTAAGTAGGCCTCAATAATTAAGTGTGTGTTAGCCTTAGGCAAGAGACTACGCCTAGTAGTCATATTTAAGGGGAAGAGCCTACAGATTACCTGGTTCCCAACGATAATACCTAACTAGCTATACGCAACCTCCGAGAATAGCTAGACTTTAAATGCAATAGGAGCTGAGTAGTTAGATTAGATATTTCTGCCTGAGACGGCTGTGTCGGACGATCACTGGAGGATACTGATTCTAGATGGCCACGGCAGTCATATTGCTCTAGAGTTCCTATAGAAGTGCAAGCAGAACAAAGTCTATCTCCTGTTTCTGCCTGCTTATTCTTCACATTTCCTGCAGCCTCTAGACCTCTCAGTATTCTCTGTCGTGAAGAGGTTCTACTGACAGCAAATCCAGACTCTCTTGTACCTTAATAACGCAGCGCCTGTTAAGAAAGAGCGCTTTATTACAGCCTACTATGCTACAAGAGAGAGAGTAATTACTGAGAGAGTCGTACGAGCTGGGTGGGCTGCTTCGGGTATCTCTCTATTGAATATTGACCAGGTAGTCAATTCATCTCAGGTATCTCGAATGCCTGTTACTCCACCCCGTCAGAATCAGCCTCAGATTACTGAGATCTATCTCTCTACCCCTCACGAACCTCGTGATATACTTGTAGCTTAGAAACAGCTTTATAGAATAGAGAGGTTAAGTCGTACGATATACTAGTACTTTGAGAAAACTAGTAAGGCACTTGCAGCAGCGAATGTACGGGCAGCAGCGAATGTACGGGCAGCAGAATTGAATACAGAAAACAAAAGACTCTATAGTCAACTTAAAGCTCTTAGGCCTTAACAGCCAGGAAAGAAAGTTCGTGTTAATCCAAATCAACGATTTGCAGACATAGATACGATTATGGTTGCCGTACGGGCCTCACAACTTCTATGGGCGCAACGGGATGTTGACGCTGAGGAGCGGGCAGTAGAAAGAGTAGCAGCTGAAACAGCAGCTCAAACGCTCCAGTCTATGTGTACAGAGTGGCAATTGTAACTATATTGAGAAAATAAACATGATTTGTTCCGGGTGGTGGCCGGATCGGTGCGTAATCAACATCTCTAGGTAATCAACTACCCGGTCGACTAGCTTAGTGCCTACGAAGCTCAAATTCTGCTTGATAATTTTGTGGATATCGTCGCTGACAAGCATCTTCTCTTCAGCTTTATGTATGTTAACCATGTTCCAGAAATTGCAGCATAGCATACCACTTGCGCACTCCAATGCACATCTTTAGCACTCACTCTCCTTCCGATATAACTAATCGCGCTTGAATAAGTCTGGGCAGCCGTGACAACCACACCACGGGACCCGATGCCACCACAAACTTTGATAACCTCAAGGGATATCGGCGACTTTTTGGAAATCGAGGAACGCTTCAGCACTATTTTGAAGACCTGCTGATTCCTTCTTACCACCCGTATCGATTACAATGGCTCGAAGCCCTAGAACTTTTGCAAACTGAACAGCCATAATGCCAACACCACCCCCGCCAGGAAATGCAACCCAGTTGCCTGGGCTGTAGTTCGACTCCATAAGGGATCGGTAAGCTGTGATGCCGGCACACATAAGTGGGGCGGCCAAGTCATCGGAGACGTTATCCCGTATTCGCCTTGTGTAACATGTAGACGTCGTTATGTATTCTTGAAATGAATCTTCCGATGCCGTTAGCAAGAAACACATAAAGAAAGGCAGCTTGAACATCAAAACATCTGGATGTGTGAGATCATGAGCGCTTGCGATTGGACAGTGATTGTCCCTGCTGTGGTGACAATGTTCACATAATCCACACACATTGCGAAGACGTTTGATGCCAACGCAATCACCAATTTCCCAGTTTTTCACACTCGAATCAAGTTTTATCACGGCTCCTGCATCTTCATGTTCAGCACAGCGATTGCCAAATTCCGGCATTTTCCTTTCATAGTCTCCCCCCATGAAAGACAAATCGGATCTGCAAAGGCCTATAACATCAATTCCTACCAGAGTTTCTCCAGGTCCTAAGTATCAAATGTTAAAAAGGTTTTCCTCAAACACCATGAGGCCTCATCAGGGTATCTGGCTGCGGAACTTCGACTTTGTCGACCTTGACTTCGAAATCAGGATCCTCATTCACCATTACTCCTGCTTTGCATGCTTTAGAGACTCAAAAATATTCCTGTCCAAACTTTTGTAACACATTCTGCTGGGAAGTAATCATCACAATCTTATCTTATTGGAGAGCGAGGTCAAAGGTAGTGACGACGAAGAAGTTGAAATAATGTATGAAGGCAATTGTTTGATAACAAGAAAAAGGCCAGAACGCTCATCTCATACCTAGAAAAGCTAGCGGCCTTCTACATCTGAGCCCGAAATACCTATCCGAGGTTCTGTTCGTTCGGTAGCTTTCTCTGAAATACGAATCCACTCTAATACTAATGAAAAGTTTCCCACAGAGATTCAATAGTGCCTCAAAGAACTAAAAGACGCCGGCTTGCACCATGTAATTAGCTAGCAACCAAATCGTCCTTAAACTTTCAAGTACCATACGGGATTTGGCAAAGCTGAACTCACCAAAGTAGTTAAATTACAAAAGATAAACTTTTTAAGATATCTTAGTCGGTGTTGATGAAGATCACGTAAAACGGGGTAATGTAGAAGTATATAAGCTAAGACAAGATATAAGTCCCTAGACCCAGGAACAGGGAAGTCTGGTCAAGAAGATGTCGCTTTAAGTATTAGATGTACTTTGTTATTCTCTGAGTACATTGCTATTGTTTTGCAAGATTAGAAGTTCTCACCTCTACAATTCAAAAGTTTCTGTCCAATGACCGTTGTACATACCCGACTACAGAGACCAGTTGGATCACGCGAGCAACTTAGTCACCAGTTATCTATATTTGGATAAGCCAGACCGCAACCCTAGCTAGGCCCAGTGCTGAAGCTTTGTACGCGTATAGGTATCGGCAATGTAACCGTCGAACGCGCACCCCCTCATCAATAAAAATTGGACATATCCGTGCTTATAGGACGCAGACCAAAATTTACATCGCAACTTCTAGAGTCTATATCTTTATGCCTACAGTTAATTTTCTAATCATTTCTTAATATGAAGGTAGCAGTACAGTAGCACTATCTGCTAAGAAGAAGCGTTTTGATAATAATAAAAGCTGGTCTTGACACTGTTCTATAATGTACTGCGAAGTGACGCTAGCCCTAACGTAGCTTAGGGCAAGGATGTCCAATCTTTATTGATGGAGAGGTGCCAGGCTCTCGGTCGATCGATAAAGCTGGAAAACCCAGACCAAGCGGGCTAGTCCACCAAAACGACTAACCTTCACAACAGGATGTCAGCAGCACTATAATATTATATTAAGAGAAAATTATAGCTAATGATTACGCTTACTCTACAACAACTATACTTAAGGATATAATAACTAAAATAATATTAGTCGTGCTGCAGTAGGAGCAGCGTTTCTAAGCGGGCTTCATACCGTTAGTGTTAGGCAATTTTATTTCCGACTTTTTCCGATCGACCGAGAGCCCAGATGCTCCCGTGAGTCCGGCCTAGTACTAGCGTGTTGATCCAACTCCGAACATTTCGGACGAATGCCGGTCACAGTCAAGGAAACCGCATTCGCCCCCTGAGAAACTCACCCACTACTTCCCGTCCCTATCCTTTCCTCCAACCAAATCCTTCCGTAGAACCCAATCGGCTCATCCGAGCCTACTGCGATAAGCACAAAGTCAGAAAGAAAACATGACCACTCCTTCGACCGAAAGGCACATCCGAGACCGAACTTTAAAGCAGAAGATGCGAAGAGGAACCCACAGCTGCTCTGAGTGTAAGTTTCCCTGCCTTTGTCATTGTTAGCTAAAGCGACTGAGACCTGCTTGACAACAGGCAGAAGGCGCAAGGTGAAATGCATTTCTATTGCTGGCCAAGAAAGGTGTAAAGAATGTCATTTTCGAGGGAGCAGCTGCGTTGAACAATGTCCCAACAGTGGAAACACGTCAGCCCAGAAAACAAAGAGCATGCGAGAGCGAATTTCAGAGCTAGAGGCGATTATCCAGACCCTTCTTGCAGAACGGGGGACCGATCCATCCGCAAATCAGTCTCAGCCTTACATTGATGATGTCGAGTATCCCACCCCTGTGCCAGCCGACAATTCACCGGTAGCCAATCTACCCCCTCATATGCGATTGTTTGATAATGATGTAGTGCGTACCCAAAACATATCGAATCCCTTTGTGTCTGTGCTAAAATTTTGCAGATTGCTCCTGTGAATGACCAGCCCACAGTTCATACAAATTCTCACTCTAGTGGTCCATCAACCACTAGTAGCTTTGTTGAAACAACAGAAAATGGGTCTTGTGGCGAAGGAACTCCAGGGGATGCTAGCGACAAGGCCTGGGTTAATCTGAGGACTTCGAAAGACCAATATACCCGGGAAAAGTTGTTAGAATGCTTAGATTCTGGCGAGAGGCTAGATGATGCGCTTCAGAAAAACGAACAACGATGGATGATCTGGCGCTCCCGTATCTTGGCCCATCCTCCAAACGAATCTTTTGCAAATTGGGCTAAGAATATTATCCATAATGGGGCACCGTCTGATCTTGGCACGCTCATCTTGCTACTAGGCACTGGATCAGATCGAAAGGGCTCACAGAATCTGATCCCTCTAGTTGCGACTTTGATAACATCTGATGACGACTATACTACCACATTATCCGGAATAGAGTGCTCCCTTCTACTCTCAGACTACTATTGCAGCATTGGGCAACCAAGGCGAGCTTGGTTAGCCATTCAGAGAGGATTGGCATCTGCTCAACTAATTGTAAGTTTCTGTAAGATCATAATTTAAGTATTTCTTTTTAACATTGTACAGGGTTTACACCGCCGAAGCTCTTCACCGATAGCAAGTGGGATAATGCTACTCCTGCATTACGAGAATCAATTTCTGAGCCTTCTGCTGGGGACAGCGCGTGGCATATACTTTCATTGCAGCATTGAATACGCAAGAGAAGATATCAGGTTCTTTAAATCTGAAATGGGCGCTATTTGCAGTAAGTTCTTGATTGGAACACAAGATCAACGGGAGCCGTCGCTATCACTAGTCCTTGAACTCGACCAGCAGCTCCAAGCTCTGATTCTTGCCATGCCAACGACATGGAAAATATCACAATCGGAACATTCAGAGTCAGCGCAACTGTTGTTACCTGATATCGAACAAGATAAGATTCTGATCCAGATACACATACAACAATTGCGGACATATCTGTATCTGCCATTGATGCTTGGCTCAGGTTCTACTCAAACTATGCCTCCTCACATGTACGAGATGAGTCGGATAGCTTGTCTCGAGTCCTCAAGGGAGCTGCTAAGGCTCTATCAATTCCTGTCTCAACAGTCTTCATTCGAAAATACACTTGTAGACTTTATGGGCTTTTCAGCAGCAATGCTGATAATTCTTACCCTACTTGGCTGTCCCAAATTTCGAATGGGGAATGAGAGTTCTAGAAGAACAAGTAATCAAGACGAGCAAGATTGGGGAATCATTGAAACAACCATCAGCATATTGAACGGTAGAGCGGAAAGTCACGATAGTAAAGTCATCAGACAATGTCTAGAAGTCTTGCGCGCGTTGTCTGGTGCGCGAGACCCCACTGATCCCATTCGTCCAGGATGTAAATATCGCCTCGTAGTTCCGTTCTTCGGCGAGATCCTAGCTCAACCAGGCACAAAATTTGGTTTCATCAGTTCCTCTAACAACACGACAACCCCAACCAAGGCAACGACAGTACATCACAGCCACCCTTCCAACAACATGAACTCTACAAGCGTCTTAGGAAGTGCGTCGAATGGTTCCAATGCCGTACATGCGAGGAACACAATGACAATCTCAGAGTTTTCTGGTTGGGATGCATCTAGAACTATACCAGAGCTGTCGGAACATGCGTTTAACCTGTTGTCCCAAGGTTTGGAGCACGAGGAGAATGGAAATACTTTCACTGAAATGTCGCATGTTGACCTTGGACTTGGAATGCAACCCATGCGATACAATCAACAGTGGCAGTACCTTTCAGATATGGACCTTAACCAAGATTGGCTGTTACTAGCTGAACCCAGCACAAGCGATCTATTTATTGGAAATCAATGAGTCGTGTTTTGTTTGTCTCTTTTTCTGAATATCTGATAATATCGCTATGGGAACTATTTGTAGTGCCGAGTGGAACAAAGAGCTGAGCTGATGTACACCCACAGTACAGAGGTGGCTTTCAAAAGTTATTGCTGACAGGGATAATCTGTATTAATACCGAAGTACTACCAGAGCTAATCAGATCTGTCCCACCGCCCCTCCTTATACTCATTTCTACCATTAAGTCGAATTATTTCCTTTAATATAAAATGGAATCCTCTCTATCTGAGCTTATATTTAGTATTAAGGTAGCTCCTACTACTAGTGTAGCTATACCTTTACCCCTTCTACTCTATTTTTTAGTGTTCCTTTACTCGTTATTCTCCTTTTAAGCTATACCTAAGCTGGCTTAATAGAAAAGGAGATTTTAGTACAACGATTAAGGCACGCGTACAGATATTAGTATTTTAAGTTATTTTTTATTTAAAAACTCTAAAAAAACAGGTCGATATCTGCTCCTCTAGCTTTAAAGAAAAATTAATGTAGATGCTAAGACAGTCAGGCCGATAGATATCCCTGTCAGCAATAGCTTTTGAAAGCCACCTCTATACAAAGCTTACAACCAAATATAGTCATAGGCAACAAGTTTCACCTTAGTTAGTGTTAGCCTACCTTAGTCATATCTGACTTATCAAAGCAGATATAAGCACGGAGAATACTACCTAAGCTCGGTAGCTGTTCGTCTACGTGAAATACAGACCGTTTACTCAAGACTGTTATTGTTTTACTCTACCTGTGCCTAACAACCCTAAAACGTCTCACAGTTAGCTCCACTACCCCACTAACACTAGTCTAATCTACTTTCTAAATACTAACTACTAACGCTATACTATACTAATTTAGCTATAAGCTATCTTAAAATATACGCTATAGCTAAAATATAATAATAAATAAATATAATATTACTATTAAGATACTATTATCACGATACTGTAGACAGTAGAGGCCAGCCCTCGGGGACCCGATGTAACGGCGCAGGCAAGACTACTCGGATCAGTATCGGCAGTAGTGTCATTCAGAGGTATATAGGAGTGCGTAGGACATCAAACGAGCCTTAATTTAAATAGATACCTATAGGCCTTATACGAAAGGATATTAAAAATCTACCTAATAAGCTA